ACCTCCTTTGACAGTATCACAGTATCAGCTTAAAGCACTTGTTGCAGGCTGCTGAGTTTGCATATTTTGCTGTGAAGTACAGCCAGACTTTTGACCGCTTCGCCTTGGGCATTTTTAATCTGTAGCTCTGCTCTAAAAGAACGTACGTACCTGGGCCCGCCTACTATCCTCGGAAACGTAAAATGATTGGCTAGAAGTGTATCACAGCTCAGGAAAAAAAATCACCGAAATAAAGCACCGAAATGTGCGCTGCTTTTCGGTCTGGTTACTACCGTTTATGTCAGAACCGGTGCCATCATGGCACCGGACACCGGTACCCATCCCTACTTGTAGCCCATATTCATAAAGCCAGGACGGGTTGCCACTTCATTTTACTTGTTAAAGTATGCTTGTAGGTAACATTCACGAAGGTAGCATGGTTTGGCACTTAATTTTACCCATCAGAGCAAGGGCGTAGATTTGGTTTTGGCATTGGTGGGGACAGCTGATTCAATCACCGAATCCTGCCATGTTTCTTTTTTTTCCCTTTTTGTCTTTGCTTCTTGATCAGTCTGTCAATCTCCCATTCCCTTCTTCCCCAAAATGAACCAAAAATGTTTTGAAAGTAGGTCGACGGACCATTAAAAAAAAAATCTTGAAAAGTAGATGATAGATGAAGCTAAAATTTCACAGGACTCACATATATTCAAACTTTGTACCATTAAATATTTATGCAAATTGGAAATGTTCGAGCAGGAAATGGTCTAATAATTGGCTGATTTGAGGCTAAACGAGCCAGTATGAAGTTATTTCGTCAGTGAAATACAATGGTCAAACTAAAAACTTTCCACAGCAGGTTTTGTAAAGTATAGCATCTCTTCCTAGGAGAATCCTGATGTTTAAGGTCTGTGTCATACATGTGTTTCATGGCCTGGTCTCCTTTGAAAAAGAGATTTGATCTTAATGGGACTTCCAAGGTAAAGAATAAAAAAAGCAACATTATATTGCATTAATAAAGTGTAACATCAATTCACTATTATACTTATTAAAACAAATGTATTTATCTTTCAAATATTAGAACCAGAATAAATATTTGGTTAATCCAAAGAGGTAAATTGCTTATTTACAGAGGTGATGCAAATGTGGATTATGGTTCAGTTACATTTAGTTAATACTTGTGAATCCTTACCAGGTACGATTGCATCCTGGCGGCAGTCATACAGCATCCCAAGGCTGAATGGGCGGCCAAGCGCCGCAATTTCCATCGTTCTGCTGGCTTCAGTGTCCATCTCTTTGTCTAGACTAGACAACACAGACACTCTGGTTTAGTTTGATAATAGTTTTTATTCTCCTGCTGTTCAAAATGTTAAGCGTGGCATGTATACATCCCAGCCACTCAGAATAGGCTCTTGGTATATTACAGCAGGAAAAACACAAGTACAGTTATTTATAGACTGGTTCTGTGAAACAGCATACCAGGGCCATCTGGCGTGAATAGAGCCATAATTATTATTAATCACAGTTTCATATTTGTATTTTTTTTTAATCTTATAGTTATTTGGCCCCATTCTGGATTTACGAACTTAATAATTAATCTTGAGTAAAGAAGGTGGAGTAATTTTTGAATATTTCACATTGCCGAATTCTATAATTACAGAACAAAAACACATTTGGTTAGTAAATTACACTTGACACATTACACATGTAAGAGATAAAATGTAAGATAGACCAAAGGTAAGCTCCATCCTTTGTACATATACATACAAATACATTCCATGTCTTTTTTTCTGTTTAACACAGACCTTCATGAAAGCCATTTCATGAAGGTCTGTGTTATCAGTTTCAGCAGCTCAGTGGGTAAAGGACAGAAGCCCCTGAACTGACACAAGAAAACCTCAGCAAGAGTCAAAATGTAGGGTCCATCGTTTCTAAGAGATTACTAGAGATTTAACCTTTAAGTTACACACAGCATTCACTATTGGCTAATTTAAGAAACAAAACAAAACAAAAAACATTTAAAGTATATCCAAAATCTTTGTCTAAATAATAACAAAAAAGAAAAAGAAAATACAAGAAAATAACAGCCACCTACATAAATCTAATTATTTATCCAAGACAAACAATAATGCATGCAGGAGAATATCAAAACAATATTGCTGTACTTACAGCTGATATATATGTGAACTTCTGAGGGAGTGCTATTGTTTCAGACATTATATACTCTGTGAGAAAGACCCGCCCCTTTAGCTTTACTTGGGAGGCACCACAGAGGAAGATCAAGCTGAGTTCTCAGAAATCACATGATCTGCATAAGGACAAAAATACTACTTCTGTCTATAATATAATACATTTAAAGTTTTTTGGCATTTTCCACAAGCCAAAGATGTGCAAGATATATTTATTGAAAATTAATGGGGTTCAGGTTAAGACTGCAACTTTAAATCCATTACTTTGATGTAAAGATTTATTTTACTGAACATTTTTGCTGAAAACATTTATGCATAGGGTCAACATGAACTCTGATACGTGTGTAAAAGAACTTTGGTCTTTATGGTCGCTATAAACATCACTGTTCAAATATAAGCTATTGTTTCACTTTCAGATTTAGGTTTAATGATGCAAAGGTCAGGTCAGTTGATACGTGACTCAAAAGAAACTACAATTGTTTATTTTAGGGACAAAAGCAGAACTAGACGCAAGAAAGCAAGAAACGTATCTTTCATATCCTTGTCCTTTAAAATGTCAGTTTCTGGTTTTGATTATATAGAAACTCTAGGGCCTCATCTCAGAAGTGTAGCCTTTATTAGAGCACAGGTGCTAGACCTTAAATATGATGCACCGAGAGAAGAAAATCAGGTTTAAAACAACAAAAAAATTAAAAAAGAGAAGAAAACAGAAGAAAATCTGGATTTCATAGTGTTACCAGTGTGCACCGGAGAGATGCTTCACTTAAAAAAAAAAAAACACATTTGAGGTTAAAGTTTTTTGAAACATTATTGTCACTTGAAGTGTATTTCATGGAAAGATTCAATTAAAGACAAAAAGGATGGTAGAAGCCAAAGGGAGAATGCACCCATGGCACCCTAACATTTTTTGGGTCATCTAAGAAAAGTGCACTAATTTATATATAAAGAAGTCTTTTTTGTTGTGTGTGTGTGTGTGTGTGTGTGTGTGTGTGTGTGTGTGTGTGTGTGTGTGTGTGTGTGTGTGTGTTTAAAGAAACTACATGAAAATCACACTGTGCACAGTGCTGAGATGTTTTAATGTGCTCTATGGTAAAATGTGATAAAGACAAAGAAAACTAAAACACAGTTCAGTTAAGTTCAGTTCCTCTTGGATTTACCAAAATGAAAGGGACTTACCTCTGAACATGCAGGAAAAGACTCAAGCAAGAGTTCAAGGACAGAGACAAAATTTTACCACTGTACTCATTTAACCACAGTTGTTTTCCCGAGAAAACACTATTGATAGCACTGTCTTGCAACCCTGATACAAACCCTGTTACTATACATATAAAACAAACATGAATACAAGAATATAGAAATATTATTATTCTAACATTTCTGTGGTCTTGAATTTTTTGGGGGGGCTTGATTAAAAGTAATGTATCCATGTTATCTTATCTACTCTGATCTGACTTGCTGTAACAGGGTTGCATAAAAACTGTATCTCTGACACCTAAGCTGGATGGGGGGGGGGGGGGGTATTTATTTATCTATCTATCTATAGAAAGATAGTGTAGTGGTAACACTACTCATCTACCAGTTCGAATGTCACCCAGATTAACAAGGTCCACTTCAGGTCTCTAGGACACACTGTTGAGAAGTGGGCTTCTGGAACAAGAAGACACAAGTGAGCAAGGGATGAGAACAGAGAGCTGTTGGAATCTGAAGTAAGGAAGTAATCCCAGTAAAAGAGGATGTCAGACCTATGGAGTCTTTGACACCCAACATTAGTGAAACAACTAGTAGCTCAGTGTTTCAACATCTGGAAGATGCAACTGCTATCACAACTAGAGACTGATGAGGTACAACACAAATGCTACAGCAGAGGGGTGCCTAAGAAGAAGTCCATATGGAACTTGAGAATAAAAACTGCTTACCTAGCAAAATGAGCCACATTTTAAAAATCTGGGGGGAAAAAATTCTGAAAACGTTTCTTATAAAAAAAATTGAGGCAGTCTGCGAAAGAAACTGCTTTAAAATATTACCTATGAGACTTTTGAATGTTATTATTGATCAGTCTGTTTTAATTCAATGTGCTTGCGACATGTGTATCAAATGTCTTCCACAGCAGATCGAGTGTCTGCTCTGATAACCATCTTGCCAACAACTGATAACATTGTGGAAAACTTTGAGTTTAAGGTTAATGATAGCCACGAATATGATTGTGAAAAACAGGACTTTTTCTTTCATTTTCAGGTTCACTATTTCTGGGAATCACTCAGATTCCTGTCACAGTTCAACTTATTGAGGTTAGAGGTAAGATCCCCTTATGTAAGAGGCTTATATCGTTAGATACTATTATCAGAGGAAGAAGAAACTACAATAATGTTTTTCACATTGTTTTGCATTGAGGTTAATCCTTTAATGCCCTTTATATCATATTTGATACATGAGTTTCTGAACTTTTTTTGGTCTAAAAATAACATTGTTTTCAACAAACACTTGCCAAAAATGCCCAAAGTATCCAATGCCATACAAAAATGTATAATAAATATATAATAAAAATATATCGTACACAGCATGATATATATCAAAATAATTTTTGGGGATTTTGTTATAAGGGTTAATAAACATCTCAGAGTTTTCTGGCTATTTTTTGATGGGTTGGGTCTTACAGGGTTAATGATAGCACTAAATGTGACTGTAGAAAATTCTTTCACTTTCAAGCTTACATATGCTCATTCCCTGCCTAGTTCCACCCATGTGCCATAAAATTTTTTTTTCTGCTTTCATTTTGAAGATGACACGAGTAAGGAGGAAAAAAAGTAACATCAGAGCAGATAAAATTGGGGAGTGGGGACGTGACAGATAAAAGGAACCACAGAGTGCAGTAGAGCAGAACTTGCGCTGTCTTTCTGATCAGAGAAGTTGCCGTAAGTAGTTAAATACTGATCTGTTTTTTCATTGTATTCATCTGTTGCTTTCAGTGGAACTAAGCTTTCCTAGTTTCTGGTTAAACTCATTTGTAATATTCCTGAAATCAAAAAGATGTTGACATTTATTAGTGTTTCTATGTTGCAGGACTAAATGTTAAATCTACACAAACACAGATGAAAGAAAATATTAGAGTGTATACATTCTGTGTTTAACCCATCACAATTTTAGAGTTAAATAAATTAAACTCCAAGCATGAAGTTGGAAAAGAATAACAACTTTCAGTTTTGCAAGATAGAGAATGCTATTATGATTGTTTGCAGTTTTGATTTGCTTCTCCGATTGAAAAGTATGTTGACTTACTGCTGACTGCATCACACACACAGTTATTAAATAAATTCAAACAAGATATTTTGACTGACCAAATTTGATTCTTCTTACCCCATCCTACCAGGTGTCTATTGACAGCTTAATTTTAAAGGGATTTTTTTGTAATGTATTAATTATTCTTACAAAGTTAGTTGAGCCACATTAAAGCAGTTTAGAAGAGTTGTTTCATCATAAACATAATATATGTTTCATGTGGTTTTTTGTTGGCCTTTTTCTTTTTAGATTTTAGGAGTTTTTAAAAGACTCGTCTGAATGTAAGCCAACAAATCATATCAACTCTGTGGCTAATGGCAAGGAGCCTAACAGCGTAAGAGGTGGGTTTTAATTAATTTCTATCTTTAAAGCCTTCAAAATAATAATAATAATAATAAACTAAAATAATGAAATGTTACATGTCATGAAATTGTAGTTTTTGTTATGTATAAACTCTGATGTGAAAATTACAGCTGTAAATTTAAGACACTATTATTATTAACTCTGCGTTTTGTATTTTAGGAGGAGTTTTTTTTAAAAGACCAGTTTGAATCCAAACCAATATATCTCAACGTCTAAAAGCACGTGACTGAGAACAGGTAAGGAGCCTAATTTTCAAAAGCGAAAGATTTTTTAAAACAAAAATGGATTTTTACTATATTGCACGATGTTTGTAATGGTTAAACTATAAAAATAAGACTTGTAAATGTGAAGAAAAACAATCAGTGGCCACCGGCTTGGTTTACGTTTTCTTGTTTCAGGGGCATCAGCTCATTGGTTGTTTCTGAAACATGAACTGGTTCTTAATTCCTTGTTTTCATATTGCTTTATGTGCTACAGTGCAGCTAAACTCAGCTGGTTTTCTGTTTTTATGTCTGTTTAATTATGTCTTTTTTTATATGTCTGTTTAATGTACAAACTAGATGATGCTTTTCTAGTTAAAATTAGAGCTGAATTGTGTGTATTTTAATTTTTGAATACATATTTCATCTGCAGATCAGGGGCTGAAAGAACATCTTAACAACACAAGACCCTGACTGCGCAGAAGCCACTATATTTGTTCCTGAAAGAAGAAAAATTTAGATCTTTGTAGTAAATTTAATAACTGACGTACAACAATAATGTTGAAATATTTCAAACGAGAAGAAAAGCTTTCAGATGCTATAAAAAAAGATTGCAAACAATCAAAAACACATACAGGGCCTCTCCCTGTTTATATAATTAAACCCAAAAAAAATGATTTCAATGTCGATGGATGCAAGAGTTTCACTTTTGGGAAAGAGTCCAGTAAACCTAATCGCACCATAATGGTTCTCGGAGCGACTGGTGCTGGGAAGACAACTCTCATTAACGGGATGATCAATTACATTTTAGGTGTTAAATGGGAGGATCCATATCGATTTAAGTTAGTTGATGAGGGTGAGTTAACTTCACAATCTGAGAGTCAGACCTCTGAAGTCACTGTGTACAAAGTCAAACACCAGCAGGGATTTGAAATTGAGTTCTCTCTGACCATTGTGGACACTCCAGGCTTTGGAGATACAAGAGGCATAGAAAAAGACAGAGAGATCGTAGAGCAGCTACGTAATCTCTTCTCTGCTCAGGGTGGTGTCAGTGAAATCGATGCTGTGTGTTTTGTAGCTCAGGCTGCTTTAGCACGACTCACACCAACACAAAAATATGTGTTTGATTCAGTGCTCTCAATCTTTGGCAACGATGTGGCAGAAAACATCTGGATTCTGGTGACATTTGCAGATGGTCAGCATCCTCCAGTTCTTGAGGCGATCAATGCTTTAAAAGTCCCATGTCCTAAAACACAAGACGGGCTGCCGGTTCACTTCAAATTCAATAATTCAGCCTTGTTTGCAAACAACAAATCATCTGAAGGAGAAAGCACGAGTGATGACGATGAAGAAGAAGGTGGCTTTGATAAGATGTTTTGGGAGATGGGGACAAAAAGCATGAATAGATTTTTTGCTGATCTAAATCAAAAAGAAACAAAAAGCTTGACACTGACAAAGGAGGTCCTCACAGAAAGAAAGCAGCTCGAGATTACAGTTGAGAATCTGCAGGTAAAGGTTAAACTTGGGTTAGCCAAGATCGAGGAGATTAATGAGACAAGTGAGAGACTTAAAGAATATGAAGCAGAGATCAGCAGAAATGAAAACTTTGAATTTGAAGTTACTGTCAAAAAGCCTGTTCAGGAAGACATTTCTGGCTCTGGAAACTACATCACCAACTGTCAGCAGTGTCATGCCACCTGTCACTACCCTTGTGCCATACCAAATGATGCAGATAAAAGGGGCTGTGCAGCAATGGGGCCAGATGGATATTGTACAGAATGCCCAGGGAAATGTATTTGGAATGTACACTTTAACCAGAAGTACAGATGGGGCTATAAAGATGTTAAAGAAAAAAGAACAATAAAAGAGCTGAAAGAGAAGTACCAGAAAGCCAAAGGAGAGAAGATGACTGTTCAGAAAGTGATTGATAAACTGAATGCTGAGTATAAAAGTTTGCAGGCTGACGTAGTGAAACTAATTGAGAGAGCTGCCAAATGTCTGAACAGACTTAAACAGATATCACTGAAGCCAAACCCTTTGTCCACTCCAGAGTACATTGACATGCTTATTGAAGGAGAGAAATATGAGGGCAAACCAGGCTGGAAGCAACGAGTTCAGTCTCTGAGGTCCATGAAGGAAAAAGCAGAGACAATGGCTAAAATAGAGCAAGGCAAGAAACTCCTGCGTCATCAAGAATCACTTGATGTCAATCCTTAGCCAAATCCATGAAACAGCACATAGTCACAGGCAGTCAGATAATGATAGAGGGTAAAATCACAGCCAGCTGCAGCAACCTCTGAGTGATTTTAAAGTTTCACCACTTTTTGTATTTATGATTCTGAAAGTTTAGAAAGAATATGTACTTGACCTACTACAAGCAACTTCAAAGTTAAATAAAACATAATAAAATTCATTGTTTTTTTAATTTCCTGATCAACTGTGTTTTCTTTTCTACTGGTTGACACGTCATTCTCATCTTCATGCTCATTTTAAAATTTATATGTTTTCTTTTTATTTATCTAAGGTTGAATCATTTAATTTGTATAGTATTTTTTTCTCTCTTATTTTCTTTTCTAAATGTACTTGTATATTGTTCACATATTGAAATAAATTACCAATCATCATAAAAAAAATTTAATCAAAAACAATTAATCATGTCCTTTCTAACCTTAACTCTTCAATGAATTTTCTGATTCTAAGATAAATAAATTGGTTAATATGCTTTGGCTTATGAGTACAACTTATTAAAAGATTTAAGTGAATGCATATATTTGAGCCTGTATAAAATCCAAAATAAATTAATTGTGATTCAATTTCTTCTTCTTCTTTTTAAAAAATATGTATACTATATCATTCCACCTTGGAAAAACAACAGTTCAAAGACAATTAAAAGCAAACTATTGGCAAACATTAATGGCCCTGATGGGTGAAAGTAAACTTCTGAGCCATAGTGTTCGAACAGTTTGAGCCTCTTCAAGCTTTCTTAGTACAGAGTGTTAGAGTTGATTCTTTAAAGATTGTCATTTGTGCTAAGATATATATAACCATTGCTTGTATGTGTTTTGATAAAATGTTTCTTCCATATTAGGTTGCGTACTTAAGATGTAGGAAGCTGTCTTGTCGCTATAGGTTTCCATTGTACATTTAGAAACCACAAGCTTCTGGTTTTACAAGTTTAGCAGGACTGTTTACTTCTGCTTTTGTACATGTTGGTTTGTTAAAAGGTCATGCCCTATATGGAGTGACTGAAGATGTCGTTAAAAGGTCGAGCCATATATGGTGTACCAGGAAATAACACACACACACAAACACTGACTTGCTGAGATATTTGTGTAACTGCTTATTGTCAATAAAAGAGATGACGAGGGAGGTCAGGTTCGGAGTTGGCTGAGAACCTAGTTAGTGCTCCTGGGACACAAGCTTTTCAGAAGCTAGAAAATTTGTTTTCTAGCACAGGCAACTGTGGTTAGCACACCAAAAGGTCCAGAGTTCGACTCCATCACCTGGATGGAGTGCATGGAGTTGGCATGTTCTCCGCATGTTAGGCGTTACTAATCACTTTGTTTGATTTCTGACATCTAATGTGTTCATAGACCTAGTCACTGATTAAAACAGAAGATGAAAAAAAACAATTTAAGTTAGCAGGAATTGTTAGCTTTTGTATTGTTGGTTGTCATTTATGCTTAGAAATATTTAACCATGTATGCTTAGAGGTGTATAATTAATTGTGTAGTGATAGTCTGCAAACGTTGTGTGTATTAGAGAGCACTCTGGGAGCATGAGAAGAGGTCGTACCTTGTCTTATTGTTTTATGGTAGGATTAACGTAGCTACGTCTGTTCTAGTCTAAGTGCTTTAACTGCTGGACTTCCTCACCGTGTTATCTAGGGTGAACCATCTAGGGTGAGGGGGGGTCTACCCTCTTCCTGACCAAGGATGTTTGCCTTTGTGCTTTCATGTATATGACCCTTTGATCAGCAGTACCACACACACACACACACACACACACACACACACACAGGCAAGGTACTCTTTGTGTGTATGTAGACGTCATATGTTAATGAACCTATGCATATTCATGTAACCTCAATAAAAGACCAGTGGTACGGGGGAACGACGAGAGCAACTGGGGTCAAGCGAAGGAACGGCGCCTGTCCGGTCCTCTCCCGTGCACGAGAAACATGAAGAACTTTGCCTACTTGTGTCTTGCTTTGCTGTGTAATTATATTGTCTTCAACGTTCCAGCAGATGGGTTCAAGCCACAAACCTATCAGGAATCACGTGTTCTGATTCTTTTTTTGTAGTTAAACTCTTGCTGCTGTTGCTGCTGCTGACTGTATTCACAGCAGCATGTGGCTTTAGCTTGTTTCCTGCTGTCTTCTTATAGGCATCTCTATTACAGCCTACTGCAGTAACATACTGACTGTGGACTGAAGCCTCATATTTCTGCACTTTCAAAAACTGAAAAGATGCGATCAGTTGGAGAACCACTGTGTTTTACTTGTGCTTTGTACTTTTAGTGTTTTTTTTCCTATTCTCCCCATTCCCCCTTTTTTTGCTCTTTCATTCCCCCATTTCTTTTCCTCCTTCATCATCTCTTTATCACTTCTCCTCCACCTGAGAGGAATGAGGGGGGGGGCTTGCAGCGACCAGCAGTTTGTGTCTGTCAGTCAGTGTTTTAACTTGTTTTATTTCATTTTTAAGTTGTGCTTTTTATTTTTTGACCCTGAGGAAATCCTAAAGCATTGGCTTGTGCTTTGTGGAACTCTCTTTTTAATGAAGATGGGTTTTTTTTAATTTCGCATGGTTTTATTTTCAATCCTGACGGTTGTTTGGAGTCATTGCTACTCACAAACAATTACATACTGTAACAGCAGTCCGGCTAGCAGGTCCAGCGGGCATGTGGTGTGGAGGTTAGCCGGAAAACTCCAAGCCAGTCAGTTAAATTAAACAACAGACCTTTATTCATTGTCAGCAACATAAGACCATACAAGCCAGGTCTCCACGGCTCTACTCTGTCCGTACATACACGTGCGGGGATCGGTAGTCGCCGGCGCCAGCCCGTTACAATGGTAAGGTTTCTCCTGAGAACAGAACATGAGCAGCGTGTAATGACTGCAGCTCTCCTGCTGCCAGCTGTACATATGAACACCAAAAACAACAACAGCACAAGCAGCGCACAGGTTTTAAGCCGGCGAGGCATGATTGTAGATGCCGTGAAGGTGAGTCGATCTCACCTGCAGCGCCATCGCAGACCACAACTCGCCACAATAATAAAGCTTTTTAAAATTTAATTATAAATAAATTATTTCTCCTAATTATGTCCTGGGTTTTAACTATTTATTTATTGAAAAGTATCTGTAATGGTATCGGCGATACTAGCCCGTATTTACTTGGTATCAGATCGATACCAAAATATGCAGTATCGCACACCACTAATACTCATACACCCACTAGGAGACTCCCATAACTACTACGATAAGATAAGATAAGATGACCTTCATTAGTCCCACAGGTGGGAAATTTGTTTCATTACAGCAAAAGTGCAAAGTTATGCAGCAGAAATTAGAAGACACTGGATTGGAATAAAATAGAATAATATATACAATAGAATAAAATAGAATACAAATGCTATATACAACTGAGTAAGAAAATACAGAAGTACAACTTTGTCAGAAAAATAATTGCACATATAGCAGTCTTATTGCACATGTGTGTGTTTGATCAGTTGAAGTCTTTGTTGTGGAGTCTGACAGCAGTGGGGAGGAAAGACCTGCGAAATCTCTCCATCCCACATTGTGGGTGCCGCAGCCCCTGAAGGAGCTGCTCAGTGCTGTCAGAGTCTCCTGCATGGGGTGGGAGATGTTGTCCAACAGGGATGACAGCTTAGCCACCATTCTCCTGTCACTCACCACCTCCACTGGGTCCAGAGGGCATCCTAGAACAGAGCTGGCCCTCTGGATCAGCCTGTTCAGTCTCTTCCTGTCCCCAGCAGAGATGTTGCTGCCCCAGCAGACCACACCATAAAAGATGGCTGAGGCCACCACAGAGTCATAGAAGGTCTTCAGGAGTGGGCCCTTCACTCCAAAAGACCTGAGTCTCTGCAGCAGGTACAGCCTGCTCTGCCCTTTCCTGTAGAGGGCGTCTGAATTCCAGTCCAGTCCAGTTTGTTGTTCAGATGAACACCAAGGTACCTGTAGCTGTCCACAGCCTCGAT